TTGGCTTAATTCTCCCACATGATTTATATACAAAGTCTTGAATAAGAATTCACATGTGTATTCGATCGAACTTTCAGATGACTGAAAACTTTTCTCTAGCAAGTTTAATTCTACTTAAGTAAATCGCTATATCTCTATGTGAAATTTAGAACCTTTTTTTTGTAAAAAATCTATTTTTTTTTATATAAAAATATATTTAATTCCTTAAAAATAATTAAAATATTATTAAAAATACGAAACGCATTATGACGCTTATTTTACCCATTTGAAGGCAGTTGAATGACAAAGAGTAATGGCAGCAGTTAGAAATGGTAGTTCCACGACAAGTTAGCCACCATGAAGAAAATAGGTAGCAGTTTTCAAGCGATTTGTCACGAAGAAATCATCATGAGAATATAAAAGGAAAGAATAGACATAGAGAAAAGGACCCCAAATCAAACACTCTCAAACGGAGAATATATAATTTCAATTTCTTAGATTAACTTTAATTATCATTTTTTCAATACTCCTGTGCTTGCCCCTTAGAGGAATTTCTGTTTATTTCCAATTGTAACTCTCATCAATAAAGCACCCATTTTTGGGACTTTGTCTCAAGAGGTTTGTCCCTTATACAATCGTCTGAATTTCCTTTTTAATTGTTAGCGTCTACCCGCGCGAAACAGCATTACTCCATGAAGAAATTCATTTAACGGGGAATAATATTAAAAGTATATTTCTATCCTCTAGTTAAATTATGAACTTTTACTATTTGGTCATAACAAATAACTTACATCTCAACTCCTTACCACTCAAAAAATTAATTAATTATTGATAAGATAATTAATTACAATCATCACAATAATAAAAACAATACACAATATCACTATAAACCAAGTCTTTAGTAATAAAAAATAAGGTTGTAATTAAAGGTATATCGTTCGCCCTAATTAATAAATTTAGTCACAAGCAATCTTGCACCAAGTTTGAGTTTTCATTCTTCAATGAATTCTCCAAACATACATTATATTTTTACCAAATAATGGGGCACAAACAAGGGCTTAAACTTCAAGAATGTCTAGAAAGTTATGTTTTCTTCCCTAGATAACTAGTATTTGTAGTGGTTTAATCCCACAAAAATCTATGTACCAAAAGTTCCCAAAAAGTCCTCATTTTGAACAATAGGTTTAATTGAACGTCTGTTGCACATTCTTGAAATATTTTATAGATGCTATAAAAATAATATTTTAAGATGTGAGAATATAAAAAATAATTAATAAATTTTTTTTGTATGGCATGAACTTTTGAAATAAAAATCAGTTTGTGAAAACAATTTAATAATTGGGAAAGTTAATTAAAATAGTCACTCCATTTACCCTCTTGATCTGAACATAACATTCAATGAATACCATCATTTTTTTCATATTCACTTAATATGCATTGAATATATCAATTGAAATTATTTATTATAGATGCGCATTATATCCTCCATTTACATTCTCTATATCTTAACATTCATTGAATGAATCAATCGAAAGAAAATTATAAAAATATTCATCTTTTGTTTCAAATTTTTTTTAATGAATTTAATTTACTATTAAATTATGTGAAATAAATGTGGCAAATGTACATTGATTATAACTAAATAATTCATGATAATATTGTTTAAATGATTTGATAAATCAAGTACGTATTGAAAAATGAAAAGGTAATGAATCTGTCAAATATAATTACATAAATTAAATAAATATTAAAAAACATAAAAATAAGGTAATGAATGAGTCAAATATACATTAATCATAACTAAATAGTTGATCATAACTAAATAGTTAACAAAATAATTAATGATAATATTGTTCAAATGATTGATAAATTAAATACATATTGAAAAATGAAAGTAGGGTATTATTGAAATAATTAAATATATATTAAAAAACGAAAAGTAAGATATTATTGAAATACTTGAATTATAGTAAGGATAATATCGTCCAAAAAATAATTTTCGCTTGATACGATATTTAATATATTATAGATATGTAGTTCAAATTGGACATGGACAAGACCAAGTGGGAGGGCTATGCAAAAGAGAGCTAGCCTTTGAATTTCACTCATAAAATATGAGGAATATTTCATATCAAAGAGATTAAGGCCTTGTATGGGAGGGATTAAAATCGGATTAAAATTGAAAATATAGCCGTTATTGTTGACTTTTATTAGACGAGTGGGACCCAATAACGGTCATATTCTCAATTTTAATTGACTTTTAATCCCTCCCGAACGGGGCCTAAGTATAACTCATTTCAAAATTAAGAAACAAGATTTAAAACTTCAAAAATCATATATTAATTAAATTTAATTATGACATGATTAATTAAAAATATATTTTATTAATTAAATATATTAATGTCACAATTCTATATTATTTGATTACAAATTATTGAATTAATTAACTACAAATAAAATTTTTTATAGCTCACAAATCAAAAAAACCTTATAGGTGACAAATCACAAGCTTTAAAAATCATGAATCAAATTTTTAGGTTACAAGTTATCAGTCACATATTATTTATTATTCACAAAATATCCAATTTATTGGCACAATCTCAAATAATTGGTCACAAATGTTTAAATTTATTGGTTACAATTAACTAAATAATTGTTCACAAACACTCACACCCACGCCATTCCACCTATAAATCGCCGGACCACCGTCATGGCCACCACCACCACCTCACTAGCATCGCCAACATCACCACCATCTCACCATTGCAGCCCACATCACAACCACCACCACTTAAACCCCACCAAAAAATCATATCCAAAATTATAACTCATTGCTACAACCACCACCACCGCAATCGTAAAACCACCATTGCACTGCACATTAGACCTCCAAAACTCAGACTAAGCAGATTGGAGGAAGAAAACAACCTAAAAATCCAAAACCATCGCCACTGCACCCTACCTCCACACTTCGCACCACCACCACTAGCATCACAACACACAGAGATCACTACTACATAGATCCGCACACATCACAACACACACCGATGACCACTGCACATACCAACGCATACCACACACCACAGATCACCGCACCACCACCGCAGATTCATACCATTTACGTGTTACACACACATATCTGCAACCACCAGAAGCAGCGACACTCGTTGCTGCTTATAACAGACCCACTGTCACACATCTTCTTAATGGACTCCCAGCGACGGTGTCTGCTTCGGAGTGACAAAGCCACAGCAGTGGCTTTGCATCGGTGTTGGCTGCTTCAGAGTAATGCCACTATAGTGGTGGCATCTTGAACGTTGCGCCGCAGTGCGGTATCTTCGACATGTGTTATAAAGAGAAAAGAGAGAATGGAGGGATATGAAGAGAGACATGGAAAATGATAGAATTATTATTAAAATTTTGAATCATTATCTGAATTTTGAATAAAAAACTTATAAGCCCATGTTTGACACACATTAAAATTTTCATTCTCATTCATTTACTCATTTTCAATCACACATTATTCAATAAAATAATATTTTTCATCAAATCAATAACTTTTCCTTCTTTTTCAACCACACATTCTCCATCAATCTACTATTCCAAAATACATTCTTCCAAAATAATATTCATCAAACACACCCTAGATATGCACTAATTGAGACGCAGATATGTACTATTTCATAATACTAAATTGAGTGATTTTTTTTAGCACCGTTAATTGTTGAATATGTGGTCTCTAGTATGTTATATTAGTAACCGTTAATGGTGTGATTAATTAGCTAGTGAATTTCGGTGTCGGTGTTGGGGACAACGATTTAGGTGCAAGCACTGGCGATGATTTTTGGGGTGCACAGTCGGGAGATCTTACTTTCCTTCGACGATGGTGCAGCTTTATGGGAAGATGATTTAGGCACAGGTGATGAAGATTGAGAGATGCTTGACAAGGAATTGGCAGCCACCGCTCCTACGACGGCTAGAAAAATGAGTGCAAGAACAAACAACAGTGATGAGCCAGATCAAACAATAGAGATGACAGTGAACCAAAATTAAAATTTCTGGTGGTGGGAGTTTCAGCCGGATTTTTGGGTGCTGATTTGGGGCTTTCTAAGGTTTTGAGGGTTGGGGAGATTTTGAGCGTATTAATTATGGGGTGAAAGTTTTAATTAGTTTTAGCAAGTATTATTCTAATTTGTTAGTTTTTGAGTGTATTGGGCCTAATTATCCCAATCATATAGGGAAAATTAGGTTGTGTACCCTACTAAAATAAATATTTTGATTAATACCTTTTAATCTAATTAAACATTTTGATCAAGTAAAAATTACGTCCTAATCTAATCTATTAACTAAGACTCTCCCTTCTCTCTAGAATCACCCAAAAAGGAACCAAACTTCCGGCAACTCCCGGTCGGAAAAACCACCGGAATTGGATACTGGTCGACAGCCCCTAACATCCCCTTCAACTACCAACAAATATCATCCAATTCCATCAAGTATTTCAGCCGGAATTAATGCTCAAAGTTCACTGCCCAACAATCTGAAAACGACCGGAAACCCCCACCTCCGGCCACACCCATGGTCGCGGAACCCTACTAGCCTCTTTCTCACATCCAGACGAGATTATACATGGTGGCAATTCATACATAACACCTCTCAAACAGGCTGAATTTAATTCTGAAAATTGCCCAGTTGCGAAGCTCGCGATTCCGCCGGCGAAGAACTCGATTTCCGGAACCGTCCGGTGCACCCATGGAAGCAGACCACTTGGGATAGGTTCACCTTCACCTAGCGCTCCTAGCTTGCAAGGAACGAGCCTAGATCAGGCCACACATACCTGTGATGCCACGTTAGAGGGTCTTGATCAGGCTATCCGGAAGTTGAAAACTGAGACAACATTTCGATTTCAGAAGGTATTTGTCTCTTATAGTCCTAAATTGGCTTGTATGTAAATTTCCATATTAAATCTACAATTGCTACAACTGAAAGATGTTGCTAGATTACTGGTTAACCTCTGGCATTTGATGGATGTAGCAAATGAAGAGAAAGCTAAGTTCTTAATGATTACTTTGATTCTTGGTTTGTCAGAATCCGCTGTTGTTAAACCAGGTTCTCTGTCCATGGAGATTATTGAACAGGTTTGGAAGTATTGGCATCCCTACCTGCCATCTCCCTTCACCTATTATAACCTAGATTCTGTGATATTAATTTACTTCCTACAGGTTTCAACAGAGGTCGAGAGGCTCTCTAAATTAACAGCTAACAGGATGAAAGAACTTGTGATGAAGAAGAGGCTGGAGTTGGATGATATATGTATAGAACCCATATTAAACTTGATCCAAGCATGGCTGATGATAAAACTAATGTGCTAATTGATTCTGGTTGGAAAACTTGTTCTTGAGTTATTCTCTCTCTCTGCACATTGTTCACAAGGTAACAAGTATGAAACCTTCCTCTTCTGCAGGTGTGGCGGATCCTTGTGAACTCTTAGCCAACATTGATATTCAAATGAACAAATCAAAAGATGAAGTTTGGAGCCGAAAAGAGATAGTGGATAAGATAGACCGTTGGCTTGCTGCATGTGATGAAGAAAATTGGCTAGAGTATTATACTTAAGTAATCTCAAAATGTAGTTTATTAACATCACTATGATGAATGTAGGAACAAGCAACATGTTATTTTGGTATTTGTCACTTTTTTTGAGTTCGTGTTACTTTTTTGAGTTTGCATCACTTTTTGAGAGTGTGTCACTTTTTTTAGTTTTGTCATTTTTTTTTTTTTGAGTTTGTGCCACTTTTTTTAAAAAAGTAAAAAAAAAAGTGGCAATTTTTATAAAAAAAAGTGACATTGTGTCACTTTTTCATTTTACATAGTATTTTTTATTTTCTAAAAACCTTTCATATGATTTTTCAAAACATCCCTAACAAAAAAGTGACACTTAACTTTTAAAAGTGACATTGTCTCATTTCTTTTTATTAAAAAGTGACCATTTTTATGAAAAGTGACATTGTCTCATTTCTTTTTATAAAAAAGTGACAATTTTTATTATTGTTTTGTTGGAATGTTGTGTGAAAAAATTTGGAAATAGGTTGAGATATTTATAGAATAAAAAAAGAAGGAAAAAAACAAAAAAGTAGCCAAAACAGCCACTTTGAAAGTATAGTGACTGTTGCAACTTTTGAACAGTGACCATTTCGATCACTGCTTCACCAACTCAAATATCCCACGAGCTACTCGTCCATGGCGAGCTGACCACTTTCGTTGAATCATGATTATTGGTGTTGCACAAATGGATTGTGCTATTTTAATACTTGTCACTTTTTTTGAATTTTGTTACTTTTTTGAGTTTGTGTCACTTTTTTAAAAAAAGTGACAATATTTATAAAAAAAGTGACATTGTGTCACTTTTTTATTTTACACAGTATTTTTTACTTCCTAAAAACCTTTCACATGATTTTTCAAAACACTCCTAATTTTAAGGGTATTTTTGTAAGTACCCC